AAGATCATCTGTCTCAAGGTCAGGTCTACGTTTAATATTACTATTATGTTTAGTATAAATCAGAACTCCGCCACCATTATAACCTCTATCCTTTCTAAAAATATTACCAAAGTTTTCCAAAGATACAGCACTATCAGGATAGTACAGTGTAATATTGTGTTTATCATTGTATGAGGAGTGTAATGGTTTCCACTATACTATTGTACGTAGCATAGTAAGATGAGTGCTTTACGGTCAACCATATCATTGTTATATTGTACTTTATGATGACCTCTTGTTGCGCACAATAGTGTGCCTGAGTGATAATAAAAATCTCTGAATCTCTGGAATTGAATTATCAAGATGAGTTTCAGAGACGCACAGTATATCGTATTCGGAGAACTCAGCATCAATAATATGAGTATTCTTCCTTAACGAACAAATATTGATATGACAAATAGAAATAAAATCTAGGTGTATGTGGGAGTTGGGTGGACCCGGGTTCGGGTGAATATCACCGCATATGGATAATATATATAATAAAATAAAAATGAAGTGCAAATTCAGAGAGAATAGAACTGAATTATAAATATCGTTGAAACAACATTAATTCTTTGACAATGCGTTCAAATATTATTAAAGGGGCTGCTTCAATACGGGATTACAAATATTATAACTTTACTGCAGTTGACAGGTTATCCTTCGTTAATGAAATTTTATCAACTAGCTAGCTTGATATTGACGCAATACAGAAACATCGGCCCTGTGAAATACAAACCCTTAAGTCGGTCAATACAGTGACATCACGGCTAATGCAAGATTTAGCGCGAAACGAACGCGTCCTGACATTCAGAAATGTTCAGGTCGCGTTTGAAACAGTCGGTTTAATGGTACGATACCGAAAATAAAATAGCCAACAAACGGGGAACAGACGAACAGTTTGTAGAAGAATTAGTTCAAATTGTCTCAATAACAATGACTGGAATGAAATAGGAGAGAATGGTTAATATTTTCTGTCGGATAGAGAGGAATCAGTAGACTGTAGGGTGCTTTAATACACAACTTCATATTCGAAAGTACAATCAGTCAGTGTGTCAGGCAGATAGCCAATACGTTTTAATGAATTGAACAACGTTCCAGACCGACGAGGTTTACATATTTGATGTTTAAAAATAAACAAACACTTTTCTATAGTAATTATGCGTTTGTCATGACTTTCTCTTTAATTGTTACAGCACTAATTAATAAAGACATTATTGATTGGTTATTTGGGTATTGGTCCTCGGCCTGTTATATAAGCCTTCGGCTTCGCCTCGGCTTAGCAGGCCTTGAACCAATAACGCGACCAATACAGACATAACCAATCAATAATACTATTGTATTGAAACCATGTTGTTTGTTTTAATAAAACGGTTATATGTTAGTGAATAAAATTATAATCAGTAGTCTACAAGACAAGAGCCCAAAACAATGATATTATTGTTTTATATCATCGTGGACCACGGTGCACTTTCTTTTCTTTGGTAAACAAAGATATAAAAATAAATCATACATTTTTGTTCTATGGTTGGTACATAATGATATGCACGAAAATGTGTAATCAAACCTTTTTCATGTATGTTTCTGCACCAATACAACGACGGAAAAGAGCCATGGTGCAAACACACATGAAAGTGTCGCCTCTGAAATGTTATCAAGTGTAACAATATACCGCTTGATAAGGCTGTCATCACGTCGATGAGTTTTTAAGTCATAATAGTTAAATGAATTGACATAAAAAATTCAATTAATTTCTATACAAAAATATGCGTTTCTACAACAAAAAGGGAAGTCTTTCCAACAGGTTTTATCCAATTCTTCCTGGTACGTCCTTTTGCTTTCACTCTCTAAATATGAAAATCATCATTAACTCTAAACAAATGATAGAAACCTGTGGATTTAATACAATGTCTAATCAAATGATACAAAGACCATTCTAGAATGTCCTGCTTTTTTATATAACGATGCGTTTATCAGACGAAATATTGAAAATAAATGTCTTTTTACTCTCTGTAGGAAAGCCTCTATAAAGGCCGCGAAACTTACAGTAATGCACTCCCGATATATTTTTTCGGTGTTGTTATAAGACATTTCATTCCCGAGGGTCATTCCTGGACATGGTGTCTCATAACGGCAATATAATGCTATCATATCACCCTGTACCATACTTTCTGTACTTTTTTATGGTATAGAATCTAATACAAGCAACAAGCCATTCATATCTTTGTGTACCACGGTAAAGAATGAACTAAATGCAACTAGCTTTCATGTTTATCTGTACCGTACATGGAACGCAAAGATATAAACAAATCACATGTTGGTGTACCATGAAAAATTATTGTATTAAAGCCATATGTTGAATATTACAATAATATGTGAGTAAAAACATATCAGTTATCATTCAGAGACAACGGAAATCAGTTCTTTGTAATAACGCGACGATTTCACGTATGTCGTAAAATATCTCGTGGTAACGTATTTTACCCATATAGCGTCGACTCATTATGTTTATACATATGTCTGGTCCATACCCGATACTTTTATTTGATATCATAAATTAAACAAAATGTGAACCAATGTTGTATAAACATGTTACATGTATCATTAACATGTTATGTGTCATTTAATACACCTTGGGTAACCTTATACACATTTGTATACCTAGCCGCCCAACACGTTAAATAGTTCACAATATATTATTTGTATTCTTCGAAATATTTTATATTCTCTTTCGTTTTCTCGATTTTATGAAATAAAGTATTTTAAACAAACTTTCGTTTCTTCTTTGATGAGGAGATAGATTTTTAAGAGAGTGAATTATTATCCGTAAAGAACGTGATTTGCCTTAATATAATTTTTTCCTTAATCTATCTTAAACAACAAAACTTAACCATCGAGAGACAAATTATGCATAAAGCAGCATTTAACATTTAAAATATTATAAATGGAATTTAAACAACAAACTGTTTGGCTTCACAGAATTATGTTAAAAGCAGCATTTAATCATAATAACTTTGGATTTTTATCAAACATCAGAAATATCGTATTATATCTTTTGTTTTTCTTTGATAATGCATTCAAATTTTGGGGATTGCTTATATTATCTTACTGATAACAATAAGTATAGTTCTAAAAAGGACAGGTTACTTTCGAATTTTATCAAACATCAGAAATATTGCATTTTTTGTTTCGTTTTCTTTGAAAATGCATTCAAATTTCGGGGATTGCTAACAATAAGGGTATTTTTTTCTAACAATTGACAGATTATCCTACTATTATGGGATTGTGTTGAAGCCTTACGATTAATATTACCATTACATGTAGGTCAAGAAATATCAGTAATCATTCAGAGACAACGGAAAACAGTTATTTTTGATAACGTGACGGTCTCACATATGTCATAAAACTAGGACATCACGTGATATCCACTTCTACACATATAGCTTCTGACTCATTATGTTTACCAACAGGCCTGGTCGTTATCACTTACCTTCGTTTGATATCACAAATAAAATGTTATTCAAGGTTCTTTATCACAAAGAGTATGAACATGTTACACGACACAAAAATGTATTTCATTGGATAGACCACGAGGAACCTAGTAAACATACGTATACCTTGCTGCCGTTTTGTATTCTTTGAAATGTTTTAAATCGTCTTTCGCTTTCTTGATTTTATGAAATATAAGTGTTATAAACAAACCTCCGTATCCTCCCTGATGGGATTATTTTAATGGAAGGGCATTATTTTCCGTTAATAACGTGACTTTCCTTAATGTCATTTAAACAACAAAACTTACTGTTATCGCCCCCTCTTTTGGTATTCAATGTAAATTTCCCTTCCCTTCAATACAGTATACATAGTGGCATTGCACCCAAGTACACATACATCTTTTTGACATTAAATCAATCAAATGTGCCTGAAAGACAAGTTGACATTATAGAAAACGAAAGAAATTAACGGTGGAATTAAAAGGTGTCCTGCAGTCGATTGACATGTTAAGCAATAATTGTCTGGTAGCTTTATGAAATTCTTGGTTTCCTTTCATTTGTTAACCTTGTTTAAACTAATTGTAATTTATTTCCATTTTCTCTTTTGCATAACTACATTATTGTTATAAGAATAGGGTTTTTTTTTGTTGTTTTTTTTTTTATCTCAAACGGGGTGATACATTTCTAGAAGGAAGGGCAATAATTTGTGATATTTATCAAACATCAGAAATATTACATTTTTACTTTCGTTTTCTGTGATAATGCATTCAAATTTCGGGGATCGCTTATATTATCTTACTGATAACAATAAGTATAGTTCTAAAAAGGACAGGTTTTCCTACTGTTACGGGATTGTGTTGAAGCCTTACATTTAATATTACCATTACATGTAGGTCAGGAAATATCAGTTGTCATTCTGAGACAACGGGAACAGTTTATTTGTGATAACGTGACGGTCTCATATATGTCATAAAACTAAGAAATCACGTGATATCTTATTCTACATATCAGCAGGCCTGGTCGTTATCACAAAACCTCATCTGATATCATAAATAAAATGTTATTCAACGTTCTTTATCACAAATAGTATAAACATGTTACACGACACAAAAATGTGTTTCATTGGATAGACCATGAGTAACCTAGTATACATACGTGTACCTAGCTGCCTTTTTGTATTCTTGGAAATATTTTACATTCTCTTTCGTTTTCTCGATTTTATGAAATAAAGTATTATAAGCAAACCTTAGTTTCTATTCTAATGGGGAGATATATTTTTAGGGGAGCGCTTTTCTATCCGTTAATAACCTATTTTTATAAATCACAACAAAATCACTTCATTCTTTCAAATAAGAAATGTCATTTCAACAACAAAACCTTCCTATCGAGAAACAAACTATGCATATAGCAGCAGGAACAAACACTTACATTGTAGAATTTAACAAATATGTATTTTATGTGATAATAAAATGAAACCATGTTTTAGCTTACCTCCGTTATAAATGGGTTGCCGTCTAGAGAGTCGTTCCAGCAGAATCTTAAATTTTCAAGTATTTGGAACGCTCGCTTTACAGTTCTAAGTGTTTATGTAATGGCGGACCTAGTTGGAAAACCCCCAAAGACCACGTGATACTCTAATAGCCATATACATTTTCCTAACCAGTTATCCAAAGGATGATTAACTTAACGATTGTTAAAGGCAAATTTTCAGTATGATAGGAATGAAAGATAATTATCTGGATATAATTTTTTTACCATAGGGTTGTCATTTGAATTCCAACTACATAAAACAAAGGTTTATACTTTGATAATATCGAATACAATAAATGCTCCTTCCGTGATTGTTGAAATGCATTTATTGAATTACCCTATCAATTAAGTGCTCATTTTGCTTAGTTAAACTTCAATCGGTATTCATACATCTTTAATCGAATTGGTTTTTTAGACCATCTTAAGGATATAAATCGCACATCCATTAATACATTTAAGTCGTTTTAAGATCTCTCTACATCCGTTCGAGATATTTCAAATACATTTAAATGTATATCTAACATATCACAAGATATCACTGTTCCATTGAAATATAACAGACATAGAAATTACCTAATTTAATTTGATATCCTTAATTCATTTAAGAAGATCTGTTATTGACTTATATATATCCTCATGTCTTTAAAAGACAGCTCTATATCAATTATGTATATATTTTGTACATTTAAAATATTACTCAAAAACGTATAAACATATCTTATTTTGATCAAATGCCCATTTTTTTATTTAAAGATATCTGACATACTGTTATCGACCTCTCTTAGGGTATTCAATGTAGAGTTCGCTTCCCATACAGAAATTGTACACCAAGGTGTGACACCCAAGTACGGTCACATCTTTCTAACAATGTAATCAACTGAATTTGTCAGAAAAGAGAGTTGACAATACCGAAAAGGAATGGAAAACAGCGGGAAATCGTTTTGTTTAAACGGTTGATTGAATTAGTGTTCTGCAGTTGCTCGTCCTTCAAAGCGATTCTTTGTCTGGTAGCATTATTAAATTTCTGGTTTTCCTTGTTTTATTTGTCTTCTTTAAACTGATTTAAATCCCTTTTCGTTTTCTAGATTGTATCAATACATTATTGTAATTAATAAGAACTAATGTTTGTTTTTATCTCAGATGAGACAATACTATTTTAGAAAGAGGGGCGTTTAGTTCCTTAAATCAATTGAACATAATCGCTTCATTTTGTCGAATTATAAATGTGATTCATACAACAGAACTTTGTGCTATCATGAAATTATGTAACAGGAGGCATTTGACAATAATTACTTTCGATTTTTATCAAACATCAGAAATATTGCATTTCTAGTTTCGTTTTCTTGATAATGCATTCAAATTTCTGGGATTGCTAACATTCACTTTACTGATAACAATAAGGGTAATTTTTCTAACAATTGACAGATTATCCTACTATTATGGGATTGTGTTGAAGCGTTACGATTGATATTACCATTACATTTAGGTCAAGAAATATCAGTTATCATTCAGAGAGAACGGAAAACAGTTCTTTTTGATAACGTGACGGTCTCACATATGTCATAAAACTAGGACATCACGTGATATCGACTTCTACACATATAGCTTCTGACTCATTATGTTTACCAACAGGCCTGGTCGTTATCACATACCTTCATTTGATATCATAAATAAAATGTTATTCAAGGTTCTTTATCACAAATAGTATGAACATGTTACACGATACAAAAATGTATTTCATTGGATAGACCACGAGGAACCTAGTAAACATACGTATACCTAGCTGCCGTTTTGTATTCTTGGAAATGTTTTAAATCGTCTTTCGCTTTCTTGATTTTATGAAATATAAGTGTTATAAACAAACCTCCGTATCCTCCCTGATGGGATTATTTTAATGGAAGGGCATTATTTTCCGTTAATAACGTGACTTTCCTTAATGTCATTTAAACAACAAAACTTACTGTTATCGCCCCCTCTTTTGGTATTCAATGTAAATTTCCCTTCCCTTCAATACATTATACATAGTGGCATTGCACCCAAGTACGCATACATCTTTTTGACATTAAATCAATCAAATGTGCCTGAAAGATAAGTTGACATTATAGAAAACGAAAGAAATTAACGGTGGAATTAAAAGGTGTCCTGCAGTCGATTGACATGTTAAGCAATAATTGTCTGGTAGCTTTATGAAATTCTTGGTTTCCTTTCATTTGTTAACCTTGTTTAAACTAATTGTAATTTATTTCCATTTTCTCTTTTGTATAACTACATTATTGTTATAAGAATAGGTTGTTTTGTTATTTTTTTTATCTCAAACGGGGTGATACATTTCTAGAAGGAAGGGCAATAATTTGTGATATTTATCAAACATCAGAAATATTACATTTTTACTTTCGTTTTCTGTGATAATGCATTCAAATTTCGGGGATCGCTTATATTATCTTACTGATAACAATAAGTATAGTTCTAAAAAGGACAGGTTTTCCTACTGTTACGGGATTGTGTTGAAGCCTTACATTTAATATTACCATTACATGTAGGTCAGGAAATATCAGTTGTCATTCTGAGACAACGGGAACAGTTTATTTGTGATAACGTGACGGTCTCATATATGTCATAAAACTAAGAAATCACGTGATATCTTATTCTACATATCAGCAGGCCTGGTCGTTATCACAAAACCTCATCTGATATCATAAATAAAATGTTATTCAACGTTCTTTATCACAAATAGTATAAACATGTTACACGACACAAAAATGTGTTTCATTGGATAGACCATGAGTAACCTAGTATACATACGTGTACCTAGCTGCCTTTTTGTATTCTTGGAAATATTTTACATTCTCTTTCGTTTTCTCGATTTTATGAAATAAAGTATTATAAGCAAACCTTAGTTTCTATTCTAATGGGGAGATATATTTTTAGGGGAGCGCTTTTCTATCCGTTAATAACCTATTTTTATAAATCACAACAAAATCACTTCATTCTTTCAAATAAGAAATGTCATTTCAACAACAAAACCTTCCTATCGAGAAACAAACTATGCATATAGCAGCAGGAACAAACACTTACATTGTAGAATTTAACAAATATGTATTTTATGTGATAATAAAATGAAACCATGTTTTAGCTTACCTCCGTTATAAATGGGTTGCCGTCTAGAGAGTCGTTCCAGCAGAATCTTAAATTTTCAAGTATTTGGAACGCTCGCTTTACAGTTCTAAGTGTTTATGTAATGGCGGACCTAGTTGGAAAACCCCCAAAGACCACGTGATACTCTAATAGCCATATACATTTTCCTAACCAGTTATCCAAAGGATGATTAACTTAACGATTGTTAAAGGCAAATTTTCAGTATGATAGGAATGAAAGATAATTATCTGGATATAATTTTTTTACCATAGGGTTGTCATTTGAATTCCAACTACATAAAACAAAGGTTTATACTTTGATAATATCGAATACAATAAATGCTCCTTCCGTGATTGTTGAAATGCATTTATTGAATTACCCTATCAATTAAGTGCTCATTTTGCTTAGTTAAACTTCAATCGGTATTCATACATCTTTAATCGAATTGGTTTTTTAGACCATCTTAAGGATATAAATCGCACATCCATTAATACATTTAAGTCGTTTTAAGATCTCTCTACATCCGTTCGAGATATTTCAAATACATTTAAATGTATATCTAACATATCACAAGATATCACTGTTCCATTGAAATATAACAGACATAGAAATTACCTAATTTAATTTGATATCCTTAATTCATTTAAGAAGATCTGTTATTGACTTATATATATCCTCATGTCTTTAAAAGACAGCTCTATATCAATTATGTATATATTTTGTACATTTAAAATATTACTCAAAAACGTATAAACATATCTTATTTTGATCAAATGCCCATTTTTTTATTTAAAGATATCTGACATACTGTTATCGACCTCTCTTAGGGTATTCAATGTAGAGTTCGCTTCCCATACAGAAATTGTACACCAAGGTGTGACACCCAAGTACGGTCACATCTTTCTAACAATGTAATCAACTGAATTTGTCAGAAAAGAGAGTTGACAATACCGAAAAGGAATGGAAAACAGCGGGAAATCGTTTTGTTTAAACGGTTGATTGAATTAGTGTTCTGCAGTTGCTCGTCCTTCAAAGCGATTCTTTGTCTGGTAGCATTATTAAATTTCTGGTTTTCCTTGTTTTATTTGTCTTCTTTAAACTGATTTAAATCCCTTTTCGTTTTCTAGATTGTATCAATACATTATTGTAATTAATAAGAACTAATGTTTGTTTTTATCTCAGATGAGACAATACTATTTTAGAAAGAGGGGCGTTTAGTTCCTTAAATCAATTGAACATAATCGCTTCATTTTGTCGAATTATAAATGTGATTCATACAACAGAACTTTGTGCTATCATGAAATTATGTAACAGGAGGCATTTGACAATAATTACTTTCGATTTTTATCAAACATCAGAAATATTGCATTTCTAGTTTCGTTTTCTTGATAATGCATTCAAATTTCTGGGATTGCTAACATTCACTTTACTGATAACAATAAGGGTAATTTTTCTAACAATTGACAGATTATCCTACTATTATGGGATTGTGTTGAAGCGTTACGATTGATATTACCATTACATTTAGGTCAAGAAATATCAGTTATCATTCAGAGAGAACGGAAAACAGTTCTTTTTGATAACGTGACGGTCTCACATATGTCATAAAACTAGGACATCACGTGATATCGACTTCTACACATATAGCTTCTGACTCATTATGTTTACCAACAGGCCTGGTCGTTATCACATACCTTCATTTGATATCATAAATAAAATGTTATTCAAGGTTCTTTATCACAAATAGTATGAACATGTTACACGATACAAAAATGTATTTCATTGGATAGACCACGAGGAACCTAGTAAACATACGTATACCTAGCTGCCGTTTTGTATTCTTGGAAATGTTTTAAATCGTCTTTCGCTTTCTTGATTTTATGAAATATAAGTGTTATAAACAAACCTCCGTATCCTCCCTGATGGGATTATTTTAATGGAAGGGCATTATTTTCCGTTAATAACGTGACTTTCCTTAATGTCATTTAAACAACAAAACTTACTGTTATCGCCCCCTCTTTTGGTATTCAATGTAAATTTCCCTTCCCTTCAATACATTATACATAGTGGCATTGCACCCAAGTACGCATACATCTTTTTGACATTAAATCAATCAAATGTGCCTGAAAGATAAGTTGACATTATAGAAAACGAAAGAAATTAACGGTGGAATTAAAAGGTGTCCTGCAGTCGATTGACATGTTAAGCAATAATTGTCTGGTAGCTTTATGAAATTCTTGGTTTCCTTTCATTTGTTAACCTTGTTTAAACTAATTGTAATTTATTTCCATTTTCTCTTTTGTATAACTACATTATTGTTATAAGAATAGGTTGTTTTGTTATTTTTTTTATCTCAAACGGGGTGATACATTTCTAGAAGGAAGGGCAATAATTTGTGATATTTATCAAACATCAGAAATATTACATTTTTACTTTCGTTTTCTGTGATAATGCATTCAAATTTCGGGGATCGCTTATATTATCTTACTGATAACAATAAGTATAGTTCTAAAAAGGACAGGTTTTCCTACTGTTACGGGATTGTGTTGAAGCCTTACATTTAATATTACCATTACATGTAGGTCAGGAAATATCAGTTGTCATTCTGAGACAACGGGAACAGTTTATTTGTGATAACGTGACGGTCTCATATATGTCATAAAACTAAGAAATCACGTGATATCTTATTCTACATATCAGCAGGCCTGGTCGTTATCACAAAACCTCATCTGATATCATAAATAAAATGTTATTCAACGTTCTTTATCACAAATAGTATAAACATGTTACACGACACAAAAATGTGTTTCATTGGATAGACCATGAGTAACCTAGTATACATACGTGTACCTAGCTGCCTTTTTGTATTCTTGGAAATATTTTACATTCTCTTTCGTTTTCTCGATTTTATGAAATAAAGTATTATAAGCAAACCTTAGTTTCTATTCTAATGGGGAGATATATTTTTAGGGGAGCGCTTTTCTATCCGTTAATAACCTATTTTTATAAATCACAACAAAATCACTTCATTCTTTCAAATAAGAAATGTCATTTCAACAACAAAACCTTCCTATCGAGAAACAAACTATGCATATAGCAGCAGGAACAAACACTTACATTGTAGAATTTAACAAATATGTATTTTATGTGATAATAAAATGAAACCATGTTTTAGCTTACCTCCGTTATAAATGGGTTGCCGTCTAGAGAGTCGTTCCAGCAGAATCTTAAATTTTCAAGTATTTGGAACGCTCGCTTTACAGTTCTAAGTGTTTATGTAATGGCGGACCTAGTTGGAAAACCCCCAAAGACCACGTGATACTCTAATAGCCATATACATTTTCCTAACCAGTTATCCAAAGGATGATTAACTTAACGATTGTCAAAGGCAAATTTTCAGTATGATAGGAATGAAAGATAATTATCTGGATATAATTTTTTTACCATAGGGTTGTCATTTGAATTCCAACTACATAAAACAAAGGTTTATACTTTGATAATATCGAATACAATAAATGCTCCTTCCGTGATTGTTGAAATGCATTTATTGAATTACCCTATCAATTAAGTGCTCATTTTGCTTAGTTAAACTTCAATCGGTATTCATACATCTTTAATCGAATTGGTTTTTTAGACCATCTTAAGGATATAAATTGCACATCCATTAATACATTTAAGTCGTATTAAGATCTCTCTACATCCGTTCGAGATATTTCAAATACATTTAAATGTATATCTAACATATCACAAGATATCACTGTTCCATTGAAATATAACAGACATAGAAATTACCTAATTTAATTTGATATCCTTAATTCATTTAAGAAGATCTGTTATTGACTTATATATATCCTCATGTCTTTAAAAGACAGCTCTATATCAATTATGTATATATTTTGTACATTTAAAATATTACTCAAAAACGTATAAACATATCTTATTTTGATCAAATGCCCATTTTTTTATTTAAAGATATCTGACATACTGTTATCGACCTCTCTTAGGGTATTCAATGTAGAGTTCGCTTCCCATACAGAAATTGTACACCAAGGTGTGACACCCAAGTACGGTCACATCTTTCTAACAATGTAATCAACTGAATTTGTCAGAAAAGAGAGTTGACAATACCGAAAAGGAATGAAAAACAGCGGGAAATCGTTTTGTTTAAACGGTTGATTGAATTAGTGTTCTGCAGTTGCTCGTCCTTCAAAGCGATTCTTTGTCTGGTAGCATTATTAAATTTCTGGTTTTCCTTGTTTTATTTGTCTTCTTTAAACTGATTTAAATCCCTTTTCGTTTTCTAGATTGTATCAATACATTATTGTAATTAATAAGAACTAATGTTTGTTTTTATCTCAGATGAGACAATACTTTTTTAGAAAGAGGGACGTTTAGTTCCTTAACTCAATTGAACATAATCGCTTCATTTTGTCGAATTATAAATGTGATTCATACAACAGAACTTTGTGCTATCATGAAATTATGTAACAGGAGGCATTCGACAATAATTACTTTCGATTTTTATCAAACATCAGAAATATTGCATTTCTAGTTTCGTTTTCTTGATAATGAATTCAAATTTCTGGGATTGCTAACATTCACTTTACTGATAACAATAAGGGTAATTTTTCTAACAATTGACAGATTATCCTACTATTATGGGATTGTGTTGAAGCCTTACGATTGATATTACCATTACATTTAGGTCAAGAAATATCAGTTATCATTCAGAGACAACGGAAAACAGTTCTTTTTGATAACGTGACGGTCTCACATATGTCATAAAACTAGGACATCACGTGATATCGATTTCTACACATATAGCTTCTGACTCATTATGTCTACCAACAGGCCTGGTCGTTATCACATACCTTCATTTGATATCATAAATAAAATGTTATTCAAGGTTCTTCATCACAAATAGTATAAACATGTTACACGACACAAAAATATATTTCATTGGATAGACCACGAGTAACCTAGTAAACATACGTATACCTAGCTGCCGTTTTGTATTCTTTGAAATGTTTTACATTCTCTTTCGTTTTCTCGATTTTATGAAATATAAGTAGTATAAACAAACCTCCGTATCCTGTCCGTATATGACAATATTTACAGGCCTCGGTAATCCCGGCCAGTCGGAATACCTCCACAGTGCACTTTTTGTCACGCATCAGTTCATCCATTGCATACATAAGCCATTTAGGGTGGGCTTGTTTGACAACACTGATATTAAAATCAACCGACACTTTCACGATCTCTACTCTTTCTTGTATTTGCGAAGACACATGTGCCGCGTACCACTAAACACATTTTGTTTGATCATTATGTGTACATCGCTCTTTGTAAGCAATAGAACGTGACGGATTCGACCGAAATCCATCCAGTGAATAAATCTCGCCCTATCTTACCTGTACTCTATTAATCTGCACTGTGCTGTCACGCCGATAAATTTAAACTTCTTACTTACCAGAAAAAACCGGGGTTTAAAAGATTGATTTCAGGAAATATAATCCAAACGAATTTGTCCCCATACAAAAACAACGAAACTTAGCCCCAACGAATATATATGCTTCTACAGCAACTCGAACAAATATAATTTTATTCAATATGAATACATCTTTAATCGAGATAAAGTGTTCATTGCATTGTAAAGATATATTTCTGACATTTACCGATATCTTGGAATGTTTTCAGAGTTACTTCCCCTGTGAGAGAAATATCTATTATGTATAAAGGTATCAATGTTACATTCAATCATATACAGACATACGGATTATCAAATTAAAGGAGATATCCTTAATTCATTAAAATAAACCTGCTATTGACTTAAGGATATCCTCATGTCTTAAAAAGATACCTTGATTTCAATTAAATTTATCTCTTTTACATTTAAAGTATTACTCAATAATATTTCAATACATCTTCATTTGAATTAAAATGATTTTTTCTACTTAAAGATACCTGCAATAATGTTTCCTTTTTCTGTCCAGAAATTAAACACCTGACCCGTTTAGAAGCGAATTCTTAAATAACAGAACACACAACAGTATTCCTCTTTAATGAAGTAGTAGAGAGGATATCTATCTTTAAGAACGTATCAAGATTATGCTAACCACGCATGATTGACATGTTGCTAAATCAAACTGATAAACATTTGTTGAATAAAAGATTTTTTTTTTTTTTTTAAAACGGACCAACACATTTTATTTTATTTAAGTTGTGAGCTACAGAGTCGTGGTGTGATCTTGTAAGGCAAGTGTCTTATCTAGACAGATTGGGACACACCGCGGCAGGTGTCAATGTGAGACAATAACACTACAGAGGATAGGTCAATCTTTAAAGCTCCAGGTTACAGGGTAAAGTAATCCCTCACCGAGGAAGAGTACTTTATCTCTTATTCACACACTTAAATACGAGTTATCTCCCATCCTGTCGATAGGTAATACAACGAAGTGCAATCAGAGTATTGTTAGCTTGATATTTAGCTTTCATTTATGTTGTACGTCGTGATAAATCTGAACTTATGTCAGTAAATATTGTTCTTACAAACGTTAAAATACTTTTAGTCATGTACTTTATAGAAAATGTCAAGTTTTGTTCATAACTTAAAATGCCATAAATATTCGTTAATTTCTGGTTAGTGCTATCAAAACCAGCGGATATCTTTATTATGGGGGAAGGGGGGTGGGGTGGGGGGTCAGCTGGTCAGTAAGAGACCTTTACAAACCTTGACCATTCACGGCATTGTCCAGTGGTAGAAAGGATTATGCTTGTTGTAATCACACATGGGAGTATCAATTTGTTCTTTGTTTGATGAAAGTACTGCCAGGATCCTCTTATCGTGAACAGTCTCAGCAATTAGGGATGACCCAATGTTGGTGTGTACTGTATGAAAAGAAGTTTTGAGTTAATTTGTCTATTATTTATTTCAGTTATCGAAATAACGTGTTAATGTTTAGTGACTGGCATAATTGTGAAACATGTTGCGTGGCAACTGCTGTTCATCATTTAAGACATGGTTTACTTTCGTGTAAGATGTTTGAAGTATAAAGACTGTGGGCTACACATCAATGACATCCAAAGAGAAAAATATCTGATAAGTCGTTTTATATCAGAGACAAAATCGTGAGATAGTCTGCCTGATACATAAACCACACATCTGCCAGGATGACGGGCGCATTCTCATTCATTGCAGGTGAGATACATGTACCAGTTGTACGAGAGATACCTACCAGATGACAACAAGTAGGTTTTGCCTTTCTTTGCCATTTGTTTTTTGGCACGTAGTATTGGTAGTGCTTTATAGTATTCATTATATGTTATGTTTCAAAAGATGTTATGAATATCATAATGCGCGAGCATCACACGTGTTAACTGTCTCGGTTTGTTTTGTTTCCCGTCTTCACAACAGAATGGCGATATTTTGATGAAATCTATCACAGATAAACTTGAATAGTTATCAATAGAAAAACTACCTATAACACACTTCAAAAACAGTTAATGATCATACCGTCGATAGTCATAAAAATGTCACCGGCATTAGTTGCAATATACTTAAACATTTTTATCGAATAACGTAGAAATTCAATTCGTCTGTTATATTATATATATAATTAGTTTTCCTGCGATGTGATAGTGCATTAACCATTGATTATAATACTTGCGTCATTTTATTGAAATTTACCCCTTGATTCAGTTTTGTTTGGAGGATTACAAACAGACCTCTAATATCTGTTCCGGTTTGATATTTCATATGCTTTTTCTTTTGTTTTAGATAGGTGTTATAAATTTGCGTATCTGGAACAAGATAAATTCAACCGAATCAACAATGCACCTCATAGTAAAAATCGTAAAGAGACAATTGCAAATCGAAGTCAATAATTACAGGGCAATAACTATAAAACCCAATTAAAATTCCTTGATGTTTTGTGTATTACGTTAGATATGCCTTTGAAATGTAATGCATTTCTCACTTCTTATCTTCACAGTCACACTGGTAATGATTAGAATATGTAAGTATTAATCATCAACAAACACGTATGTTATCACTATTAGCGATTCCAGTATGTTGCACAGTTACCTTTAAATGAATCACAAAGCTCTGGTTACATAAACATCACTGTAAACATGTATGTTATCTTTTACAGCTTTCCCAGAATGATGCATATTCTATTTTATGCCATTGCTGTGTTGCCATCAAATATGACCAACATTGCTTAATGATAGAAGCAGAAAGATGAGAATATGTATGTATGAAGATATATCAGAAGGTGACTATGACAGCCGATGGGACGGTGATCGCTTATCTCCACCTGCTTACCTTTCTCCTATATCACGTCTACGTCGTTACAGGTAAATTACATAGGTAACTTACTATAAGGTAACACCGTACTGTATTACTTACGTTATTTGGATGTTGCAAAATATAAATTCAAAAAGAAGCATTGTGAAAGTTGTTCTTTAACGTCACGTCATGCAGTTTGATACAACAGGTATATTATTTCCCCAATCCTGCACGATTGGTTGGAACGTTAAGAGGAACAGACCGAAATGTAATCTAATAAGTTACTGAAGTTAATCTTTTACTCTAAATAAATCATTAGTACGAAAAACAATAAGTGGATGCTGAGAGCTAAACAAAGTAAATTCGATGACACTTCAAATCTACCTTGTAAAGATATTGTAATACTACCCACTACAGTTAATAAGAAAATTGTATACTAACACAACGACTTACTCAAAGAGCTAGACAGATAATACTAAATAGAGCTGCTGTGTGTCCTAGGTTCCCCGCCAGGGGCCCCTGAGGCTGTCAGTGTGAAGTCAGTAAGGGCTAATTTCTTGGTCCAGTGGCGCCCTCCAACGAAGACCTACGGTCCTATATTACACTACCAAGTAGTGTATGACGTACTTCCGGACATACATAATGTCACCATGACAACTAATCGACAAACTTTTGTTCTTATTCGTGAGTATATTATCTACACTGCATACCTTTTCAAGGTAAGGTTTTATGTGTGTTAGAGTATTGCTAGTCCAGGAAGAATTTGGTCTAAGTATGATGAACACGTACAATTGTAAATTAAAAACTAAAATCGGTGTAGAATAAATCTTAAAGTTATTTTTATTATTTACACATACATTTGATGTTTTTTGGCACGAACTATAATTTTGAAATTTCACATTTTTATTTTTTTTATTTTATTACAGTTTTATTACAAATAAGGAAAATTTATAGAGGTTTAGCATGGTATCGAATCGTATTTTTATTTGACGAAAATAATGAAATAAAAAAATAAAGCACCGGTTTTCAAATAAAGATATTTCGAAATATTACTTTGAACTTTTAAACTGGCTGGTAATTTCCAGGTGAGCTATGCAGATCCGTATTCCACTTTTGTATTTCCCAGCTGTAGCAGAACACCCTGGCAGACTTTACCGCATTACAGTACTTGCCGAGAATTCTGAAGGCCTGAGTGTGCCATCACGGCCTAGATACATACGTGTAATTCATGGTAAGTCACATCATATATGTAACTAATGGCATATCACATGGTATGTTATTTATGGTATGTCACATGATATGTTACTAATGGCATGTTACATGAGATGTTACCTTATATGGCACATACTTTATGACTGTTTTCACGTTTTTATGACAAATACATATTAACGAAGCGTTGAATTCGCTTCAGTGGCTCGGTAAAACTAGTAGTGGTATGGTTCATGGTATTGTAGTGTTTAGTTGAAGTTTTTAGATGTAGTTCTTGACAATGTGATTGTTTTTCATGGTTAAATGCCTATTTCGATAGTGAATACATTGTAACACCGTTCAATTACTGATACATTGATGTCGATGACCGTTTTTGGATTTATATAGCAGTAGTCTCACGTAAATGGGAAATCGTGAACTATGATGTTCTAACATAAAATAACATCTTCCTATTAGATTGCTTGTATGTTTATTGGTGATTTAGATTTGACAATGCGTAAAGTTAAGATAATGATAGATTTTGTTTTTTAAATAAATTCACTTTTGCTGATGTTTAAACGGAAAACAACAACAAATAAACAAACGATATCAAGGATGTCAGACAAACATTTATCTGCTATAATTCTTAACAGTTATTCTTTATTGAATATTTAAATTCTGTTAAATGTGTCATTGTGTTTCCAACCTTTTAAATCAATTTGTGTCTATATATGTCAAACGCGAACAAAAATTGTTCTATATCAATAAGGCTGAGCAATGCACGAATTGTATCAGTATAATAAGATGTATGATTTTTGAAAGCATTAATCGTGGAATCTATGCTATGCTTTAACCAGGTTGTAGTGGAAATCAATACATTCTACCAGAAAGCTCTATCACAGTGACGTCACCATTCTATCCAACAAGGGTGGAGCCTTACTCCATGTGCAACTGGAACATATCAACAAACTCTTCATACGTACTTAGTTTTGTAATGGACGATCTTGACTTTAGAGACGAAAGTTGTACGAATAGTTACATCAGGCTAAGTGACACGAAAGAGGAATATAACAACATGTGTTATGCGAGCAGTACTCAGTTTCTTTCTAAAGGAAATTGGACGAAGTTGACGCTACACACCGGAAGTGACAGAACTGGAAGAGGATTCAGGATCACGGTACGATCTATAGGTAAGTTTTGGAATGTATTAATATTTAGAGCTTGTCCATGCATCTTTGATTGAACGAGACTTAACATATTTTTGAGTAAAATTTGGCACCAAACGTTAGAAGGTCTTAGTTTGCCCATGCTCAAACTTACCTCTTCCCTGAATTTGATGTAAACGCGACAAAAACATATGTAAGCAATGAACTGTTTAGATGTGGCAGACCAGTTGTTCGGCCACATCTATGCAGTTTATTGTTTATATCTATATTTTCGTAATGAGAATTCGCAAAAAATATTTTTTGTGTTTTCCAACTTTCAAATTTCCCGCTTATTACCGTAAGGTCAGGTCAATATCTAGAACGGCACAAAAATAACAGCTGACGTCACGCGCTATTTCCCATACAAAATTGAAAAGACTTAAAACGCAACTTTCGTAAATAATTCATATGTTATTAATTTATATATATCCTATTCTCAATTCATAAAATAGTAACAAATAACATTTTGTAAGTAACTATTCAAGTGTCCTAAAACATTTTCCGATTTTATTACGACCTATATCCGGCGCACGCACTCAACGGAAACCCGCAGGAATCAGGTCCGAGTTATATTTGCAGTCAGGCATATTGTTGATGTTGACCGTGCAACCGGAGACGGTTGAATTGGTGAAAAATCCAGGCGTAAAACTGTTTGTTGATCTCACAGACACTTGAGACAGGCATCTGGTGTTCGGGATCAAAGCAGAAGATATCGATTAGTTCGGTAGTGGCACTATTAAGTCACTCGGATGTGCACATACCAACTTCAGTTATTGTCTCATAACATGAAGCTGCTGTTGGCAGTACTTTAGTAGTAATATAGAAGGGCTTTGCCACACCAAATGTAAATATGTACGAATACATTTTATTTTAGTTTAAATTATAGTAAATAAAAGTTATGTCTTTTCTTTGAAGTGCCCGTTCCTGAAAATCTCTCGAATGTCAAGGTCGTTGCCGTCAAAAGGGTAATTAAGGTGAGCTGGGAGCCCCCTACCGACTATAACACGGATCACATAACCGCCTATAGAGTGCGCTACTCGGTCCTCGCATCTACGAACACACTAGCTGTCACGTTACCAGCTTCCAGGCGAAGTTTTGTCATTAACACTAGAGGTCATGAAGGTCAATTGTATGTGGTAAAGGTCAGTGTGATGCACAAATTCCAGGAAGGTGCGACATCCTCCCCTTCCTACGTTCGAGCAGGTTAGTCACTGTTTCCGAAAAATTAGGGAATTTATTATACACTTGTATGTACTGTGGTGAGGCGAATTTGAGGAAACTAACGCTACTTAGCCATGATTATGTTAGCAATGTACATGTTATCATGAACAGCAATTTTGTATTAATAAGGCGATCTTATTATAATATAATTATTTATTCTCCGAACATATCTGTCCAGGGACTACTGAATCTATGGGTATTCCTTTTATAAATATTGATATTACTGTACATCTCTGCGCGTAATTTCAATTATAGAAAAACTTTGCTAAGATTGATTGTCTCATTTAAAAGAATCACGTATTTACTGTTTATGCAGTGAAATAGTGACCATAGTTGCTTTATTAATGATCTTGGTCGGGTGGCGATTCTGAACGTCTTGACCACATTTTTCCTTAACCTCTCTCAAGTGATAAATACATTATCGATATATAATAATATCTGCAATTCCACTGATTTGTTCAACTGGATCGTATTTTATAAACAGCATTTGAAGGGAAAAAAACAGTAGTGGTTGCATTAAAATGAACTTTTTGCTTTCTATTTCCAGCGTGCTCAACACATATAGTGTTGGGACCTAACGAAAGAATTAATATAACATCTCCGGGATATCCAGGAAACTACTCTCCTCTCGTATTATGTAATTGGCGGATAATTTCTGGTTCCGGTGGCCCATTTTACTTCCGGACGATAGCGATGGACGTTGCAGAGAGTTTATTCTGTAACAGTGACTATGTGTCCCTGTCAGGACGGGACAACAACCGGCGATGTGGTGAAATTTCCACCCCGGAACAATTTACCCGGGTGTCGGGGGAGTTAAATGTGACTTTTGTGACTGATGATCTACACCAAGCTAAAGGATTTATAATAGAAGTGAAGTCAGGTAACTGGATTATCAGTCTGTTGTACAATAGGTTCCCATAATGCCATATTCACTCATATCACATTTTTTTGTTTTGTACAGTAAAACTTCATTATGCAGCTACCCATTTCACATCTTTAAAGTAGTCTCTTAGAAAAGTTTGGCTCTAATTACAGGTTCAGTTCACTACAAAATCCTTACATTGGGGAACATTCAAAGTTGTATCCTCACAAATAGGGTCACTTAAAAGAGGCGGCCACATTAGCAGGTTTCATTCTATGAATCATGACCTGCGTTAAGTGTTATGGTTGTTCAAAAATGCCCTGCGCAGATTTCAAATTAGTTAAAAAGTTAGTTTTTTTATTAATATTGTTTATGTATGTCGTTAACTATGAAATTCTGTCACATCTTTAAACGAATTAATGCAGTCCGTATCATTATTTACAAGCGAAACATTTGTTTCAGTATGTGCTAATGTTGCAATGAATCTACAGAAATAGTTTTTTTATGTAAATATGTACGTTTGAACCTTACGGTTTACATATCGTTCACTCTTAACTGGAACCAATACATATTACATTGTACCTACCTTCCTTTTTTAGTTCACATGTCGATGTTAAGCTTATACAGTCTTCATGTTTAAAAATATATTTTATTCAGAAATAGAAACAACACTATCACAACAGACGATTACATCCACCAACACAACAAAAATCACAGACGTCAGTTCGTCGTCCCTGACTAAATCATCTGTGAACACAACAGATCCAACTGGAGAGACCTACTTCAGTGAACAGTATTTAACAACACCTGTTACAGCCTACAATGTTAGATCAAGTTCTTATTTATCAACAATCGTTCATTTGAAAGGCGATATATCCTCCTTCGTTCCCACAACAAACACCGATACCCAATCGTCAACGTCGTTGTATTTATCTTCTGCTACCGTGATATCATCAGAAATGTCTTCAGTATCTTACGAATCGTCTTCTGTATCATCTATTAACGAGCCGTTATCATCTTATTCGACAACAACATTTGTCGCTACAATAACGGAGGAAACCCAACTGAGAGCCAGTTTAAGTTCGTCGAACCGAGATGTTCCAGACACAACAGAAAATATATTTACTAATTTGGTAGTGAAATCGTCACTGGGAACAGACTTGCCTTCGTCGACATCACCAAGTACCATTCAAACCACTGATGCGAAAACGTCGGTGGTTTTTAACGATACTTATACAACTTCATCTGTCCAGGACTTGAAATCTCACTCGTTCCCGGAAACACTTCCCTCCTTACAACCAACCAGTGTCAGTGTTTGTAATGTTACTACGAAAAATTCAAGTAAGTAAACTTAATGAATATATTTACCTCCATGTTACTCTTGTTGTTCTATGAAAACTAAGTTTGCTACACAACATACACAATATACTTAATACATTAATTTGTTAAGCATTTAACTAGGTTATTTCTTGATTGTTTTTGCCGTAAGTAAATATGGCCGAACAAATGATATGTAATCAAATGCGATAACCATATCTATATGTGTATTACAACAATGATGATGCCACTCTCAATATTTGCCTCTCGTGCAAAAAATGTCCAATTATGTTTTGTTTATTTGTAACATTTGTGTCCTTTAATTGTTTTAGTTGTTTGCTTTGTATTATTTTAAGAAATTAGAATGTGTTTTGTTAACATTTTTAATAAATAGATTACAACGTGACATATGATGTGTGTATCAAGATGTTACTCCACAGCCGTGAACAGTCTACAAAGCGAGGCAACGGAAAGCAACGCCTTGAACAAAGCCTACATGCAAAGGTAAACAAACATATATTTATACGATTGGTTTGTTTTAATTCGAGAGCCTGCGATGAAAAATACATCTCAAAGTTTTAAATGCTATGTTATTGACATCTACCATGATACAGTAAACATTAAAAAGCATTGTTATTTATGAAAATTGATATAATTAGAATTGCTATTTATCTCACTTTTTCAGCTTACCGGTATCTTTAACACTACCATGCTGTTTACTGGTATTACAATGTCAAAGTTTGGGTAGGTTGTGTTTGTTATTTTGGTGTACAATCTTTGCAATATATATTTAACCCGACTGTTATCTTTTAATACTAGTATGCAAAATCACTACTGTGTATCCTTAACGACGAATAAACAGAAAAAAATCATAATATACTAAATGATTAACATTAGACCAACATATCTGTAACATAACGATCAAAAGGGTATTTCAACCATGAGCCAATCTACGGTGTAACTAATCAATATTAATAAATGCAGAATCCCTTACAGAACATCAAATATTTTCATAAGAGAAAAACGACATTACCTTAACATACACCAAGCAACAACAAACAGCAGCTTTTAGTAGCTGCCACTACATAAAACATTTCATTATTTCTTATATAATTTTTTGTTAAAAGAGAAATGTTGACCAATTTTGTGATTTTTATACAGAACGTTAAAACCGGGAAACAGTCTGGTTCCTGTCTCTGTTGTGGTCAGCTTCAATCTCTGCGGTCTGGTATCAGCCAAGATCTGTGAGCCATCATTCCGCTTGGTTAAGCACATCAACGACACCAGTCTGGACCAACTGACGTCTCATCCGGCCATCACCGACCGCTGGGAAGTAGATCCTGTTTATCTCAAAATGTTCAGATCGACTGCCATTTTTGGTGAGTTTTATCGCTACCTTTTCTCAAATAACGTTATCGAAGTCCTTCGATTTTCACTTTCAAATATATCAACGATTTGCTGTCTTTCAATAGCAAGACATGTATTAAGCACGTCGATTATGCATGCCCTCCTGAAATGAAGGGAGATACATATTTTTCATCTTTAGCTCCTCCCNTTACTATTTATAGAAAACCAAGAAATCGATTACGTGTGTGTTCCACCACTGCGTCAAGTATGTGGAGACTACAGTCCATGTGAAGATAGCATGACCATCTCTACAGGATCTTTGGAACAGTCACGTGGTGCCAAAATGTCATTTCCGACGTCATTAGTCGTAGCCGTTGTTGGGATATTGTTCGTTCTTGTGTCGTCTTGTGCGGTCATGCTGAGGTACCGCAAATATAAAATAGATGGTCGGAAGATCCATGCCACGGTTTGTATAACCTTGACGCCACCAACTGATTTAGATTTGACTAGAGATAGTGGAAATATTTGTAGATCATATAAAGACTGCTCTTTAATCAAGAAGGGAAGATATTTCAACTTATTAGGGTTTAATAATTCAAATAATTTCTTTGCCAATTAGCATCATTGTACAAAGTCAACGGTTAACCCCTTTTCAGGGCAGAAAACAGGGGCGTTATTTTCAAAAAGAGTTAGGGATCTTACTCTTATTTGCTTTAACGGATCCCTGGGCCAAGATAGCACAACCCTGTATGGTTATAGAGTTTGAATCTGAAAGTCGTAGAAGGTATGACTCAATACTTATTATATTCCTTCAATATAAGGAAAGGAATGTTAATTCAGTTTCGGTGTTATTGATACCCAGATCAATGGAACTCAACATTCTGTAGCAAATTGTGTTAGCACCAACACACAGAGGGTGAGGACCAAAGTGAGAATTAGGGGTAATATCTGTAAAAGACCTCATTTTCCATAAAATAATCACTAGAATCATTTAGATGCAAGTAGGGTAGAAAGAAATCAAAGAAAAACTAGTTTTAAGCATCTCTTTACAAACTATAGGGTTTTTAAAATGAAGATATTCACTGGTTAACGACCCCTATTCCACTGCCCAAAACTGAGACTAGAGTTTGAGAAAAGACATTTCCGGCATGACTATCTTTGATGAAACAATTCGAGAAGACACCAGCCCTTGTGGGACTGTTATGACAAATAAACGAAGATAAAATACACCAGAAAAAAATGCAAACAGGAGATAATAAAACCGTGCACCTCCAGATCATTATACTGTCTCCCTCTCCCACTGAGTTATGTTGGCAAAGGAAGTAGTCAGGCCCAGTCGTGTTGCAGTTAGACCATACTAAATAACGGGGAGATTACTTCATGTACGAAAAATTACAGTGGAATCTGTAGTGTTTTTGCCAGCAGTTTGGCAGATCTTTAAATAGATATCATTAACCTTAACATACCTACATGGGTGCTTATCTAATAATTTCATTTATTAATTTACAGCCTATACAAGTCCATGATATCATATCACAAGATCAAGACGCTCGAAGAGGAAACATTAACTTTCATCGTTTTTCTCATTACTTCCCCAACAAATCTCCCTTTCTGCGGACAGGCTCATTTCCCTCTAAAACAACTCTACAGAGAAGTGAGGTTTGTATTTCCTCTAAAAGACAGTGGGTCGTGCGTTGATCATTTACGTTTTGAGATTTTAAATTGATTGTTCTTGCTGTCTGTTTCTACAATGAATACATGAAGGCGAGAGTGTGTAACCATTGTGTCATTTTAACTATTTGAATGCCTTCAAATTGATTGTTAATAATTGGACCAGTGTTATCTACTGTAAGCTTACACACATGTTTTTAGGTCACACATTATAACGGTAAATCATATTGTCATAATGTATGACCTGTAATATTAACTCTTTGTTTTTGGTGGTGTCTCACTAACAACAGTAATTGTTTATGTGTTTTACGAAATCAACAAACAGCTGATGGCTACGAGTTGATACCTTCAGATGTTACACATACAAATTGTAAATATACAAAACTTCAGACACCAATTTCGGTAACTTTTATATGTATTGGAAGCGAAGAAAGAAACACAGCAGAAAAAGTTATGTAGTATGTTCCCTAGCCACGTTTTGTGTAATATCTATATGATTGTTTTTTAACTTGAAGATTTTATTTTGCATGAGATATAATCTTCAGGAAGAGTTCCACTCCCCAAGGAGCTTTTTATTACTTATATTATTCATAAGAGTAATTAGAGTAATTTCTATTGTCAAGGTATTCATCCTCCTGGCTGTGCAAGTACATTTTCTAGAGTATTCATCAGTAATATGCATAATAAATATAATCAGTATAATATTCTTGAACTTGACAGTTAAAGTTTTAAATTGTCGAGTATTTACCATCAGAATTTAGACGCCCACACATATATTACAGATCGAGGATGACATCAAATGCGATGTTAATAAACTCGCCTGGTTCATTGAGGATATCGTTACGCTGGAGAAGAGGTTACGGAGGAAACGAAATGTAAGACGAAGCAACAGTTTCTGAGGAAATAAATCTGACGATGTCTCCAATTTGAATCTCACGTAAAGGACAAACATGACTAAGACTTGACCTGAATAAGCACTTGACCTGAATAAGCTGAGAGGATGTCGCCGGTGAAGCAGAAGAGGCGTACCCTTCCGGAACATCTGGATTGTTTCTACCGTTTTTCAAATATGTTCTTATACATGTTGCATTCGTTTTGTCAATTTGGAGTTTTTGTACACTCTACACGACTAAAGAAACGTGTATACCTTGTTCATCTAGTTCTGTCTTTACTGAATTGGTTGTGCACGCCACCAAAGAAAAAATGAATATAACATACACAAAATCTCTCTTCAAACTATAATTAACAATTGACTTTTTTGTGTTATAATGCTCCCTTTATTGATTTTCTGCTTACATCATTGGAACGCAATATCCATATAAGTCCTAATGTACACATCCGCGCATGCACAGAATGCTGTCCACGTTGCACGTATCGGAACAGATCACCCGAACCTTGGCATCTACTGGCTCAACAAATACAGGCTTACATAACTGCTTGCATGCAATGGCTGCGTCTTCGCACGCGCAGTAGCACGACGCTCCCTGGTACCAAGTGCTGCAAGACAACACCGTGGTCGTCATGGCAATGAGTAGGAATGCAACTATCAGCTTCATCTAGAAAAAAAAGATGCTGTATTTAGAATCATTACAATATTGTATTTTTGAAAACGTCCTACACATAATTCCTAATGGAACCATACGAAAGCATGCAAACAACATGGTACTACCTTGTTGTCAATAAACAAAAACAATATAACCTACATGTACTCATATGAATTCAATATTATATAGTTAAAGGATCATCTGATATCTTTTCCTTGATCCACACATTTTATTTGGAATAAGTGACATTCTCATTTCATATTTATATTGATTCAGTTTAGCATCTGTAACCTTAACAAATTTGCCTGTTAAATCCTGTCTTCGACTCCGAAATACACAATGGAACATCACATGTAAATCGACAAACGATGTACGGTTGGTGCAACACGTGTCTGGTGATGGAAAATGTCACGTTGACTAATAAGCGGTCTAAATTATATATATTCACGAGTATTTTCATATATTGGAAGAGTTACTTAAACCTAACAAGTGAAAGATTTCCGTATTTTATGTACAAAAAGGATTTTAACAAATATGACGCAATACTATCTATATAAGGGAAATGAGAAAAAAACAGTAGTTATTCACAATTCAAAAAAAAAAAACATCTAATCATATTGATGCCATATATTGTTTTTCTAATGAACGGAATTATGAATTAAATAAATGTTATGTACTAAACACTTACCTTTAAAGGAATAGCGGTCCGTTTGGTATGCGTGTTCGCGTAAGTGAAGAGCAAAGATAAATGACGCACAAACACACTCGTTTGACATACGTATTTTTTTCTGCGTAACCGGCACGATTCTACAAGGGTTATCTATCCACTCACACTGCACTGACACCAAAACAAATAGGGAAATAGTCTTATGCATTCAGTTTCTCGAATATTTTTTTTCTGTTTTTCGATGATTGTAAAACGTCTGCAATTATTTTTACTTATTGTGTTAATAAAGTGTATCTATCATCATAAGCTTAGGTTCAATATCTCTATTAGTTAATGAAATTGTACCAGTAATGTAAACAAACGTTATGCTTGATTTACAGTTTTGTTTTGCCTACGATAATATGCACGACATGACATTTTTACGAATGCCTGCATGTATTCCATCCCAAAACTTTATCGTAAATGAAAGGTAATATCAATACCCAACCCATTCTAGCATTTTTCGCGTATCATCGACACATTCTTCCTAGGTCTGTCGTATGCAACGGATTTGATAGAAATGTTCATTTTATCTCGTGGTTAGTGTGAAAGTAAATACAGTAGATCGGAAATGTTTAGCTACAGTTTTACTTACGCCTTTTTTTATCTAAATCATAAAAGCTAATTTATCACTAACATTAGTAAACGACATTATAAGCATAGTTCTTTGTCAACCAGTCTCAACGTGACCGGTTTTTGCTTCTTAAAAAACGACAATTGGGAAGGCTTACAACTGCACTGTACGATACGCTGGACAATTGCGATTTTGCGATCATGATCATTCCCTTTCCTGATAGTAACAGTTGTGTTCAAGAGTTTACTTCGAATATCATGACGTTCGTGACTGCTGATGTACAATATTACAAAACAGGTTGTCCAACGATGCAGATTGATGAAGACTATGGTGAAGTTGTATTATCATTGCCATTATCTCATTGGGATATATGCTACTTTTTGTGTGGTATGGATGTCGATGTTTCAGTTATGCTCAATAATGTACCATATTTTTTTTTATTTCCACTTCAACAGTTCTTGCCAGTATGACGTTATATCATTCCAACTTGATATATATTCACACGTAAGGGAGATGAGGCAAACAACGCTTACACTCCCGAAACACCTGGTCTTATTTCGTTGTCCTTTTCTAGGGTATCCATGCAACTCTTTCCATTGTTCATAAGTTATTCTTGTTTCATCTATTTAAAGTTCGAATAACGGTTTTCGTTTTGGTAATCTGTTGTTTTTTAATCGCTTTGATATACCTGTATCAAAGTTATTCCTTAACAACAAGAATAATTAGGTTAATTGTTAATTACGTACATAGTGATAACTGCAGGTCGTCCGCACCTAATGTTTGGTTTGAAACAACTCCTTTTTTTGTCAATATCTTCAGTCGCAACGTCACGGAGAAAACAATGTCTGTAAATCTCACAGATACCACGTGTGGTGAAGTAAACGCTTTTTGGAGACATGGTTTATCCTCCAGCTTCTTCTTAGGTTAAGAGTGTGTTTTCTTGTGTTTGATGTATTCGGAGTTGTCTTTTAAACAGTGTGGTACCATTTTCTATATCCTACTTCCCATTGTTTGCTTATAATTTAACATTGAACGTCCCAGCGTTTGCTGCTGAAATTATGTCCCTACGCGACGAATTCTGTCGAGTGAATTACATTTCTTCCTGGCAGATGGCTAGGGTTTAATCCCCAAAGTGGTCTTATAATGGACTTTGAGAACGCGTTTTCCCGGTCCACGCATTTTCAATAATACAGGTGGTGTGAAAACTGGTAGTTGGTGCAATTGTCTGTGATGTATCTTTCAAGTGAGCAATGCACTATTAAAAATACTATACAAATATGCTGTATTTCCATCACACATGCATGTGGGGTTGTTTAGCCAAGTGCCATAGGACCAGTATTTAACAATGGAATAAATAAGGAGCGCGTGACCTAACTCTCCGATGAAAACCTAAGTTGTAGGATCTACAGTTTTGACATCGATATCAGTATAAGATTCAATTAAAAAATATAGAAGAACTTTAGATCATTTGTTATGAAATGAGAAGGGATAACCATATGTAATTTTTAAAATAGAATTCTTAAATCTCTTGATCTTCTCTACGGTCTCCCTGAGTTCACATGAAAAATGTATGATATGTTTTGTTCACTAGATAACGCGGCAGTCATGCGATGAATAGAAGTACCAATCACCTACGTCACAAACAGCTTATTAAAATTTGAAATATTAACCTGGTGTACGTGTTGCATTTAAATGATATATATCATTATTCAGAATTTCCACGAACGCACGTGGAGGTATTAACTAGGTGGCTTAGGGCTAAAGCTAGGGTATGATGAGGCAGTTCCTGTTAAATCCCTAAATTATTTTCATTGATATATGGTAAGAATTTCGTATAATTTTACTGAAAGCAAGTAATATTTGCCTTTACTCTGTAGTTTCTAGGGCATTGCGTGATATCTTGTTATTTTCACCATGTTTCCCGACGAAGGACGAAAGTTCACAAATGAAATTTAAAGCATGAAACTGATTTTATGTCATTTGTCAGTTACGTTAGCGATTATTTTCCTGTTAAACATTTCGATAAACGACAGCAGCTTAAAGAAAACGGATCCTTATTACACAATATAAAACCTGAAAAAATAATAAACAGGTTATTAATCAACACGATATTTTATTGATAGTATCAGTTTACTTGTTTAACAATTTGTAAACGTGTTCGTATGCATTGACCCAGTGCAGCACCACACTTGTTTAGTATTAGAAATGGTACTGTGTACATGCCTTAACAACATGTGTACTACGACAAACATTTGCGCATACATCGTAGGCTGTCCATATTGCAGTAGTCGGAACACACATTCCGAAAGACGACGTCTTGTGGATCACCGAGGTGAGGGTTACAGTTTTGTTTACACGCAATGGCGGTGTCCTCGCATGCGCAATAGCATGCTGCCCCCTGGTACCAGTCGCTGCATGACAATGCTGTAGTTGCCATGGCGAAGAGCAGAAACGACACTATTAGCTTCATCTGAAATGTTCATTATATATATTTTTTAATATTTGTGCATTCTAGAAAGAGCATGTACAAATTATCTTTTTTTCTTCTACTTAAATATACTTTAGAAAAAAGACATATTTTAACGGCCAATTACAACAGTGGAACTAGACTTTATATACAATTTGGAATTCGCTGAAATATAACACTAAAAATAGAGCGGTATTCATCAGGATTGTCCTGAAAACGATATGCCAGATGGTATACGTCATCATTTCTTTTCCATATAGAGGTGAACTCTTGTGAACGCAATACTTACATGTACAGGTCTTTGTTTTTGTTATTTTTTATATTTACATTTCTGCTCAAACATGTATATCAGGAGACCATGACCCGTGATCTAAAGAGCCTATTATGCAAATTATATGCATGTAAATTGCGCATTAAAATAAACATGCAGAACAAAAAAAAACTTTGTATTTTTTGCACCTACCTTTTGGTTGTATAGAGGTCTGTTTGCGTTACAGGGATTCTGCTTAGTGTTTGGAGATAAGGTACACTCCTAGTAACATATGGTCTAACTCTCGTCTGATTCACTGACCGATATAACGTTATCTGTTGTCGGAAACACTCATAACGAGCTAACAGAGCCGGATTTACATTCATATCCATTTTGGATTGTACTTTATCTAAATGTGCACATTTTCGTTTGAATAAAATAAATATCATATTGTCAAATGTATGAAATGATAAACTTAGTGTGTAGAGCAAAAGCAGTTTTATTCCTATGACGCATTTATAATACACACACATAAGTTACCTACCAACATATGTCTGTTAACCCGTATCAATGTATTTCAACTGATTACATTATATAAAAGTGTTTTGTAACTTATATCATATAATCGTGTTCAAATGTTTCGATCATTATTCATTTATTATAACTACCATAATTGTTGTACTGAAGGTCTATCTAACACAAAAAGGTGAGGGACGACTCAGTGGAGAGGTTAAGTAGAAAACGAAATCACAGCGACAATTAACGACAAATCACGAAAACTAAAGAAAGATATCAAAAAGAGGTGTTCCGAGAGATCAGCGTATGATGAATCAACTATGATACTCGTCTTAGTGTCCTAATCTGGAAAGCGTATATGCTACTAGTTATACGTACATAAAATAATAATAATAATAATAATATACAGCATTTGATATAGTGCCCTATCTACTAACATAAGCCACTCTAAAGGGCTTTACAGTACACAAATATACAATTAATACAATCAGCATATACATTAATCAATTCAATTTTCAGAAAATCGCAGGAGCTGCCCTATCAGACGCTAACTACTAGTCCTATGCCACCTGGCTAATATCTCCATATGTGTGTATGCATGCGTGTGTGCTGGAGATGTAATGTATTCTGTTTGTAGTGGGACCGTGCTTCCCACGGCATCATTTATAGTGCCACCTCACTTGAATACTACAGCACAGATATAGCAGCATCCATCCCAGACCAATTTATACTCCACCTGGGTTGTTGGAGTTGTGTGGGCAGGAGGAAAACACGTTCTCTGAATATCCATGCTTACGACGACTTTGGGGATCGACCCCCGGCCGTCTGTGTGGAAGGCCTGAGTGTTAACCACTCGACAAATCCGCCCATAATACATGATACATGATGAAATTGTGTTTGCTTTGTTCCGGATTATTGTTAAATGATAATGATATATGTATTTTTTTTAATCTTTCGTTACTGTCTTTATTATCTAATTGAATTATTTCAATTCATAATAAAATTCAAAATATTTTCTGGGATTTAAATATATAAGAAAAATCATGCTAATTTGTTTCTAGTCATATACTTTGGACTAGCATGTGTTTCTGTCAAAGGGGGATCATTTTTATTTTCATTAATTCAGGAATTTTACCTGTGTATGTAATACACTGAATGTCTCTGGTATCAAATAAACATCATTTAAAACAGTTTCTATTTAATTTGAAAGCTGTTGAAGATTGGATTGATTGAGTAATCTGTAAAACTTGTTTATGTAATTAAATCCAGCATGCGGTTGACATACCCTGAAATCCAAGTCATCAGGTCAGAGACAACAGTTCATCAAGTGAAGTGAAAGTAGTAAATATGTGTAGTAGATGAAACACTATGATATTAATGATAAAAATTACAAGCATCGAAGAGACGTCGATAATCTGCATTGATTTCTAAACATTAAAGGGTTGGCTGTTTATTTTGGTATTTGCATGAACTAATTGATGAAATTGAGCCTCGTATAAAATATCAAACTGCTAAGCCGTAAATGTAAATAAGGCTCCAACATCAATCTATGCAAATAACTAGATAATCATTCGATATTCCTCTAGTTTATATGCACTTTATATCTAACTGTACAACCGCTATCGAGTAATATTGTGCTGCATGTTTTAATCATGCACGTGACTTCACATCGTTCTCTTTGAACTGATTAATATGTCGGATGTCGTCGAGCAAGCAGTAGACACTAAGTCTTCCAGTAGAAATGAGATTAATATCTTTGTAATTTTTTTCAATAGTCTCTCTGTGCATTCTTCTTTTGTTCATATTTTCCTTCTAGTTTTGTAGATAGGAGTTCGTTTTACGATTTTTGTTGGCACTTCGGCATTCTCTAGTTTTTCTCATAATGTTCCTAAGCAACACCTGCACTGTTGCAAAGTTGACACACAATTTAACTCCCAATAAGGCGAAATCATTCTACTTTGAAGTTAAATGTTCCAATGAAACGCTTTCAAGAGTGAGTTCATTTCCATTTCTAAAGCAATTTACTACAAACACGAAAAATTACGTTGAGGATAAATAAAGCATAATATTCTCCTGTATGCGGATACATAAGGTTCGGTAGTAATAACATGTATGTTGTTACAAAACTATGTATGTCAAGACTGGCGACTTTCCATGATAACTGAATAAACAGGGGAGGGGGGGGGGAATCCCAATATAACGTTAAACTGCGGGGCTTGGATGATTTAAAACTAAACGACATTCTTTACTGGTGTTGAAGGAAAAAAACAACGCAATGATAAAATGCCATGTAGAGAGAACGAAACAAAAAAGTTCTTCATTTTATGTTATATATACATGATATGTACATAAACGTGTTTGTGATATACGTACATTATATGTTCGTTACAAGAGAACAAATTCGGACAGACAAGCCAAGGTTACAATCTAAATTATGTCTCTTGTATTTTTTTCATTCAATAGTGTTACTTATTACTGAACAAATATCTTTCTTCATTCAATAGTGTTACTAATTACTGAACAAATATCTTTCTTCATTCAATAGTGTTACTTATAACTGAACAAATATATCTCTTCATTCAATAGTGTTACTTATTACTGAACAAATATCTTTCTTCGTTCAATAGTGTTACTAATTACTGATCAAATATCTTTCCTCGTTCAATAGTGTTACTTATTACTGAACAAATATCTTTCTTCATTCAATATTGTTACTTATTACTGAACAAATATCTTTCTTCATTCAATAGTGTAACTTATTACTGAACAAATATCTTTGTTCATTCAATAGTGTTACTTATTACTGAACAAATATCTTTCTTCATTCAATAGTGTTACTAATTACTGAACAAATATCTTTGTTCATTCAATAGTGTTACTTATTATTGAACAAATATCTTTGTTCATTCAATAGTGTTACTAATTACTGAACACATACGCAGTATGAAAGTTTGCATGTTCTCGTATTCAACTTTAGTCATTTGAGGATTCAATTATAACATACAGCACGTGATAAGTTAATTATGTCACATTGATATCAAGCTTATTATATTTACACGTGTGTTACGATCAATATGAAACAACTGCTGTAGAAGCAAACGTAACTCTTCTCTTCTCCTTGATTCTCTCGTAGAAAGGTCATTAAGACCAAATAAATTGCATTACGAGAAACTGTTAATAGAACAATAAAATTCAGGAATATTTACAGAAAATATACATCGGTAACTATATTTACACGTGTGTTAGAATCACTATGAAACTACTGCTGTAGAAACCAAACGGAACTCTATTCTTCTCCTTAATTCTATTACAGAAGGTTAATTAAAACCAAATATATTTCATACAGAGCCACATGCTAATAGTACAATAGACATTGGAGCGTGCATGTTTGAGTTGCATGTAAAACAATTTTACCTTGACCTTTCCAAATATCCACAGTGAAAGTATATATGATATACAAATGTTCCTTGGTTATAACCAAAACATGACCATGAGGATGGTTGTAGTGGTAGATGTTATCCCAAAGTGTAACCAGAAACACATCAAATCTAAACGGTCCGAGTTTAACTGACATCCACCGGTGCTTTCTTCAGTATTTACAGAATATGTCTGTTTTACACTTAGCACAGACAACCATTTAGTTGATCTTCTTTCACTGCGCTTATGTATGTCGTTATTGTTACTGCTGTTTTCATGTGTGGAAGAAATCTGTCGATGCCTTTCGAATGAATTGTCCTCATTTTGAATATTTTGCTGGTTATAAATTATATCTTCTGCTTGTGTCGAAAGAGAGTTGTCAAATGGTTCTGGGCTTAAATTATTGGCAGTTGCTTTATTTTCGCGGTCATTTATCCGCCAAATACAGATCGACTCGACAAGAGCTAATCCACTGAGTCCGAGTTGTACACACAGGTAAATTGATAGATAGGAGATGGTGGTTGATAATTTGGGCATCATGTCATTAAACACTGTCAGAAACACCGTGAATGACAAGAAAACAGATATGCTCAAAGTCATCTTCTCACCCGATCTAGCCGGAAGTAAGAACACAAGCGTGTTCAGGAATGAAAGCAAAACAACCGGAAATAGTGTGTTGATCACAGGATATAAGAAATGTCGCCGGAAATGAATCTCATAGGTTACATAGGAAATCCTGAGGTTTTCATTGTATTCTGGTTGCGTAATTCTACCTATAATCTCCCATTCGCCATTTTTCTCATATCCAATTTCATTTAAACTTCTACCGGTGTCTGCGATCCTCTGTATCCACACAGGAGTCTGCCAAGAGCCAATTTGTACCTGACACGTTTGCTCGTCGAAAGGAAATCGCCTGATATCAATCTGGCAATTGACGCTATATTGGCGTCCCGGGTACCATAGGACGCGTCCGTTTTCTAGGAGAACAGTATGTTGACCGTCACTAATGTGCTGAGGATCATCAATGGAATTAAACAATGCTACATCCGGGTACCATATCTCGCTCCTGGGAAGCTGAAGACTTTTTACTCCGTCACGTAAAATTAAAAATTCATCGATCCAAGTCAGCTCCATGTAATCTCTCGTCGATTTCTCTCAGAGAGGAAAAATGTAATGTAAGATTGACGTCGACCGGTTCCGAGAGATTTTGCCGAGGCTTGATAACCGCTGAATATCCTTGAAACAAATCGGCAATTATTTGCCTCTGAGTCTTCAAACGAATATCTGCACCTCTAATATACATGTTTCCAGTTAACGTCAGTACAACCAAAAGCAGCGCAATCATTTTTGCACAGAAATATTTATTTCTGCTTTTTGTCCAATTCCTC